TGTGAGTGAGTGAGTGAGTGTGTGTGTGTCTGTGTGAGTGTGAGTCTGTGTGTGTGTGTATGTGAGTCTGTGTGAGTGTGTGTGTGTGTGTGTCTGTGAGTCTGTGAGTGTGAGTCTGTGTGTGTGTGTGTGTATGTGAGTCTGTGTGAGTGAGTGTGTGAGTCTGTGTGTGAGAGAGTGTGTGTGGAGTGTGTGTGTGTGTGTGTCTATGTGAGTCTGTGTGAGTGTGTGTTTGTGTGTGTGTGAGTGTGTGTGTTAGTGTGTGTCTCTGTGTGTGTGTGTTAGGAGAACAACGGCTCTGAACATAATTTGAGCATTTCATTTAATAAATAAACAAATAAATAAATACATTTTAAACATTTTGCATATATATATATTTTTTGTTTTGTTTTTGTTTTTATTATTATGATATGAGAACAATGATTCTGAATATCATTTGAGCATTTAATTTTATGAATACAAAGAAATAAATATATATTGAATTATATTATTAAATTATATCTAATTCTATTTAGATATTTAATTATATATTTTGATTATAGTATGACATTTCAAACATTTTTCAAAAAATATAATAAATATATTTATTAAATTGTGTTATGAGAACAGTGGTTCTGAACATTTGAAATAAAAGAGCTTGTAACACTCCAAAGAGAAAGGAAAAATTGAAATCGCATCATATGACCCCTTTAAATTTCGAACACAGCAAATTAATAACAAATAAATACATGTAAAATATATTTATATTTAATAATGAGATTCTCTCTCTCTCTCTCTTTATAGCCTACTAACATTTCAAACGTTCAAACATTTTGCAAATAAGAAAATAAATATATTTATTATTTAAAAACACGTGTATCAATTACTTTTAATTTTTATTAAGAAAAAAAATCCACAGGGTAAAGCGGTTCATTAAAATTATGATTCATAAAAAAAATAATAAAAAACTGTTTTCTAAATCTTTAGAGAAATAACCCGCCCACATCTGTTTTGATTGGATGGGCGGAGTAAAGAATCCGCCCTGCTGTCTCTGATTGGCCCGAACGCGCAAATGCACATGAGGGAGGCGTGTCTCTCGTATCTGTTGCCCCGCCCCGTTTCCTCACACAGGTTATACTGAATAATACAGGAGCTCTGGGTTCTCTGACGCTCAGATTTGAGGAAAACACAGAAACTATGGAATAAGATGGTCTTTGAAACAATACAGGTAAGTTTCCGCGTTGTTGTGTAAGTTTGCAGTGAATCTGTTGGATCTAGTAGTTTTAAACTGCTACTTAAATTGAACGCGAGCGCAGGATATTATTAATCGCGCCACAAGAGTTTTAAAATCTTTTTAAACTGCGTCCGTTAAACCGTCAGACGCACAAACTCCTGACCATTGCTCAGATAAAGACAAACATTTCACAGAAACGCGACTCGAGACGCTTCAGAGACGTTTGGAAAGCTGTCAGGATTGTTTCAGGAGGAAAGGTGAAGATGCTGGAGAGTAAATGTGGTAATCCTGTGCTCTCTGAGGGGATTTGGGCTTTAAAGCTCATGTCTGACCATCTGCCCTCAGAAAAACTGCCAAAACAGCCGTTAAATTAGCCAGAGATCGCCAGTCTGGAGAAAACCAGCGAAAAAGTGAGTATAGTATATAATATGACATAAACAATGAGGCCAGCTGGACCAGGACGTCCTTCAGTCATATAAAATTATGATTTTTAAAATGGCAAAACAGGTTTCAATACCTCCAGCTCGTTTGAGAAGTTCGGTTTGGTTTGGAGAGAAACTTTTTCTGAATAGAAACTATAAAAAGCTATAAAATGTACATTTGAATCTTTAATATAATTGGTAAACTTAAGTCTAAAGCCACACATTTATTAGATATTAGTGTAAATAATATAAAATGTACATCTAAATTTAAAAATAAGTCTTGCTCCAAATATTTATTAGTTATTAGTGTAAATTACATTAAATGTACATCTAAATCTTTAATATAAATGGTAAATGTAAGTATTAAGTTACAAATTAGTTATTTATTAGTGTAAATTACATTAAATGTACATTAAATATTTCATATAAATGGTAAATATAAGTTATTAGTTATTAGTGTAAATTACATTAAATGTACATTAAATATTTCATATAAATGGTAAATGTAAGTATTAAGTTACAAATTTATTAGTTATTAGTGTAAATTACATTAAATGTACCTCTAAATCTTTCATCTAAATGGTAAATATAAGTATTAAGTTAAAAATGTATTAGTTATTAGTGTAAATTACATTAAATGTACCTCTAAATCTTTAATATAAATGGTAAATATAAGTATTAAGTAAAAAATTTATTAGTTATTAGTGTAAATTACATTAAATGTACATCTAAATCTTTAATCTAAATGGTAAATATAAGTATTAAGTAAAAAATTTATTAGTTATTAGTGTAAATTACATTAAATGTACATCTAAATCTTTAATATAAATGGTAAATGTAAGTCTTAAGTCTAAATCTTTATCTTTATATCTAAATCTTTAATACAAATGGTAAATCTAAGTCTTGATCCATGACTTTATTAGTTAATATTAGTGTAAATTTAATTTACACTAATAAATGCATGGCTCAAGACTTAGATTTACTGGTAATATTAAAGATTTACATTGTACGTTTTATGTAATTAACGTACATCTAATATTATCAGTAAATCAGTTGTCAGTAAAGTCTTGAGTGGCATATTTATTAGTTGGTGCTAATTACATAAAATGTATATGCAAATCTTTAACAGTAAATCTAAGTCTTGAGCCACACATTTAGTGGTTATTAGTGTAATTTACGTAAAACTTGCATCTAAATTACATAAAACACACATCTAAATTTTTTATATAAACAGTATAAATCTAAGTCTTGACATTTGTTAATTATTAGTGCAAATTACATAGGCTAAAATGTACAGCTAAATCTTTAAAGGCAGGGTATGTGATTTTTCAAAATTTCGGCCGAAAATTTTCGGTGGCCGAATATTCGGTGCATCCCTAGTGATTTTAAATATCAACATTGGCTACCAGAAATCACTTACTCTGCCTTTAATATTATGAGTAAAGCTAAGTTTTGAGCCACACATTTAATAGTTATTAGTATAAATTACAGAAAATGTACATCTACATATTTAATGAAAACAGTAAATCTAAGTCTTGAGTCAGACATTTATTAGTTTTTAGTGTAAATACACTCCAGAGATTTCACAGTGGGCTCATGGCAAGCATTGTATGATTATTAATAGTATTTTGTCTCTCTTCTTTTCTCCCTCATGTGTTGGCCTTTCTCTCTGAAATATGCATCTTCTGCATATTTGCCTTGCTGACTTGTAGAGTTTCTGTTGGTTCTCTGATCTCGGCACAGAGAGAGAGAGAGAGACTGAATCTCCCCCTGAATTCCACATCATGAATGTCATTTGGGAAATAAGCCGGGGTCCGAGTCATAGTTTATCCCTAACCCTCACCCTAACTAACCCTGACCATAACTAACCCAAACGCTGGGGTTAAAGGGAAAGTTTTCCCAGAAATTACAAATCTGTTGTCATGTAATGTTTTAAACCTTTGTGACTTTTTTTCTTCTGCTGAATACAAAAGATCCCTTATGAAAAATAAGTTTATTCAAGTGTGCTATTAGTATACTTCTAGAAACACACATTTTTATCATATAATACGTCATTAATAGCGGTTCACTTCTGTGATTTGGTACGATTGCGTTCACATCAGCAGCGAACCGTACCGGAGTTCACTTGAACTGTACCCCAGACCACCCTTTTTAAGCGGACTTGGGTACGGTTCACGGGTGTGCACCCGAGTTCGGAAGACAGCGTTCACATCATCCAAACGTGCTAGTGTGAAAGCACCCTTAAACCAAAAATAGGAAAGTATACTTTCAGTTGTCTTTTTATGTACTTCTCAGACATGGGCTTTATGTACTTCTCAGAAATATACTTAAAATGACATTTAAGTATACTTGACTTATACTTAGAAAAAGTCTAAATATATTTGAGCTATACTTGTGCTCTGAGAATCAGTTTACTACTGTTATACTTAAAGTATACTTAAAAGTATACTTTTATATACTAGAAAGTGGGCCAATTTAGTCCCAAGGAGTATTGAAAAAGTACACTTGCACTATACTACTAATACACTGATATTTGTAAACTTACTACATAAGTAAAGTTCATGTATATTTTTAAGTATACTTACTTTATTTTATTTGAATTATATTTAGTCATTTAGCAGACGCTTTTATCCAAAGCGACTTACAAATGAGGACAAT